TGATCGAATAAAATTCTTCTTATCGTAAATATAATTTAAAAAAATTCCATTTCTGACATTTATCCGTTTTGCGATGTCTTCAATTTATTTATTTTTAATAAAATCCTAATCAATATTTTAGTGAGTCCTGTATTGTTAACTCCCTGTCAGTATTAAGATGAATAGTGCGCATCGATAGTAGGATATTTCCAAACGTGAATATATATAACTGAACACTAAGAATTTTTGTTTATTCTTAAAAACAAACCTTCGAAGAAATCATCTTGATTTGAATATTTTTCTACGAGAATAAGAAATTCATTATTTTCTTTGATAGTTTATTGTAGATAAATAAAATAAGATAAACGTTGAAATATAACTAAAGGTGTTTGAATATAATTTAATTGAAATATTTCAATTGTATAAATATAAATAATGGTAAATTGCCTTATTTATTGTTGATTATCTATTGTAATTTGTTCTAATAAGTGAAAGATATTATATTGTGCTTGATAAATAAATATTATAGGTTGTAGAATTAATTTTGTTAAATGGTCAATAACCATTTAATAGAAAAGGAATTAATATTTATTTCTATATTTGTTTTAATTGAACTTGTTCTAAAAATAAATTTAATAATTCCGTTTGTTTGTTAATAATTAATATATGATTTTCAATTAATTTGTCAATATGTTTTATTATATTAAATTGTTGATCATAAGATAATATTAATTATAATTTATAAATAAATCTTTAATTAATTGTAGATATTAATATGAATATTTAAAAAGATTTTCATCATATATATTATGGAAATAATTTCTATAAAGTATGTGAATTAATTTTGATGTTAAATAAAATATTGTTGCTCATTGTGGAGAAAATATAAATTATTCTAACCATGATTTATAATTAGATGTTAAAGAAAACAAATTCTTATTCGAATCGTTGATATCTTATTTGTTTTCATAGAACATTTTTCAATATCAATTCAAATAAATATTTCTTGTTAGTTTTTCTAATTTAGATAAATTTAATAAAATTTAAAAAAACAAGGTTATCTTATTAATTCAAGTATTTGTGGTGTTGAAATTTAAAATAAATAAATAAATAATT